ATACGCTTCGCCAATTTGGGCTGAGGCAATGGTATTTAAAGGTAATGTAGAAACCCTGGAAAGGCCTCTGAGGGCGATTGCCTTAAGGGTCGTAATGGCGTATCGCACAGTATCGACGGCTGCGGTATTGGTGATAGCGGGACTGATACCGGCCCACCTGCTAGCATGGGAGAGGACGGAGAGGTACAGGCGCAGGCACGAACCGGACAGGAGACGCGTGTCAACAGAAACCCGAGCAGCAGTAATGGAGAAATGGCAGAGTGAATGGACAAGCGGAGAAAATGGAAGATGGACGCAAAGACTAATCAAAGACGTCAACGCATGGAGGAATAGGAAGCACGGAGTGGTGGACTTCCACTTGACCCAGTTCTTGTCGAACCATGGATGTTTCGGACAATACCTCCAACGGTTCGGGAAGATCGAAGCCTCGTCATGTGTGGATTGCCAAGACCCCGTAGATGACGCGGAGCACGTGTTTTTCAAATGCGACAGGTGGTGGAGGCAGAGACAAGCCCTGGAGGTGGAGATAGAGGAAGAGGCGACACCGGAAAACATAATTAAATGCATGCTGACGAGTAGAAGAAACTGGGATGCGGTAAGGGACTTCGTAAACCAAGTACAGTCCACCAGGGAAAAGGAGGAAAGAGAGCGGCAACGAAATCAGATCGTAACTGAAATTAGTTAAGTTAGTTAAACTGTGCGCCGAAGGCGATTTTTTAGAGGGGTAGGGCCCTCTCTTTTTTGTCGAGCGAATGCTCTTAAACGATATTTTAACGATGTTATTATTAATTGTGTGCATTTTTTTTAATAAATGATACGGATACAGGAGAAAGGATGGCCCTAACGGGTGAAGTACCCTCCTGTAGCGCCGTGATTCAAACACAAAAAAAAAAAAGTTTAGGCGCGGTTACACGAGCTACGCACGTCGATTACATCGAGGCACTGAACGTGTTAATAATTCATAATTTCCTCATAAACTTTTCCATTAACTATTAACTAACTATTTAAGTTGAATTTAAAGAAATTAATAAGTAATAATTTAATTCAACACTAAATTAGTAGGCACAGTAAAAAATATGTGATAAGAATAAAAAAGCGAATGACTGTGGAGGTTCTGCTTAAATTTTTGGAATACCAAACAAATGTAATTGAACAATCATATTATTTGACATAACTTTATTGATTCATTTTTTTTTAATGACACTGCTCCTGTGGAAAACGTAAAACATTGGTACAATGGTTTTTGAACGAGCTCTGACCGGCATTATTATAGTATCACAAAAATAATTGGACCGAAAATATTTAGCTGCATTAAACGGTTTTTGACTGGCAATAATTTGTCACTCGTAAAAAAACTATAATTATATAAATTAAAATAATATTTTTAAGTCGGACAGTGCACCATTGCTGGTACAAAATAATAGAACCTCACCTTTAGACGATAGGGGAATAAATCAAAAAATGCCCTAAAAAATTTAACATTGTCCGGTCACAAATTATAATATCACATGTAAATGTGGTATCGTATACTCGTATTAGCCGGAAACCGGTATATTTCTCAATTCTCTGTGCAACTGAGTTTTCACTGAACTTTTATCGCATGAAAGACCCGGGTCGAAATAGCGGTCTAGGACGTTTTGGCGCGGCCATTTGGACGCTGGACCGATTTGGCGCCGATCTTTTTGGCGCCGCAACTTTAAAAAATTGTAGGTGTCAAGTCACTGTAAATATAAAAATAAATAATAAGTCATAATAAATAAAACTAACTTTATTTTATATGAATATATATCTTATTAGCAATAATAAAAACCTTATTTATAGACTAAAAAACCATAAAAAAAATATATACATTCATATTTATAAAAAAAAAATTGTATTTTGTAGATCTTAATAAGGCATAATATACGAGTATAATAATATATAATAACACACAAAATCTTCTAAATTAAATTTACAGTTATTTTAAAGGAAACATTATTTGCAAGGCCTTTTAAATATAATAATATATTTGTTTCTTGATAATTCGTAACTAATTTAAAAATTCTTTCGGAGTCTATACATTTTTTTTTTTCTGGTGGATTTATCCCGGTAATCATTTGTTCATAATAAACGTCTGATCCTTATTGTATTTTCTGGAGACAATTTATAAATTGCCAAATAGTAGGATTTGTAACCTCCATTTGAACATTTAAACGAAGATTCGCTGCTTCAGCGTGGTTATTAGTTCGATTTTGGTTTTTTAAAACGCGTTGATATAAATTTCAAATATTTGGAGGAAATTGGGGTAATTTACGACAGGATTTTCTTCGATTTTTTTCTACTTATATAATATTCCTCAAACCAGTCAAGTAACAGAATTTTTTCATCAGGTAATTCATCAGCAAGTAAATCTATTGCTATGTCAAGATCTTCAATTGGTACAGATGCTAGTGATAATATCATTTTAATTAAAACGGAAAAATTAGCATCATTGTTATACTTTGAAGTCATTCCCAAATCTCTCATTTTTTTTCTAAAATTTTTAGTCAAATAGTAATAATACCCAGAACACTAACTTCGAGAAATGCTTCTTTTATCGCAGAAATAGCAACAATTTCAAAATCAATTTAAATAGAGCAAGGTGATAGTTCCGGATTTAAGTTTTTTAACATTTTCAAAAATTTACTATACGTTTCACTTTTTTTATTAGGTAATAATGCATAAATAACTGGATGCATCCCACCTAAATCTTCAGCCAAAATTATATATACCTGAGCAAATAACGAAGGTCTAATATTAAATGTGTCATCTACAAACCATGTCTTAGAACGTTGCAAAATATTTAATGCTGACAGTCTTCCAAATGTTAAAATTCTATGAATTTCTTTACCACTGTCTACTAGAAAAAATTGTTCTTGAAATCTTTCTTCATGTAAATACGTTTGGAGTATTTCTAATGATAACAGATCTAAGGGTGCTGGTGGAGCTGAGTGAACAAGATTTCTTTTCCTTTTTATTTGTTTTTTCAATGCATCATTAATTGGAAGAACGCCCTAAAATTAATAAAATATAAGTAAGTATTTTAAAAAAAGCAATAATAAATTTGTTATAAAAGTTATTGATTAGAGTATTATATTGTAATATATATTACCTTTGCAGCTTGTGATAGTCCTAATGTGCATTCATTAATAACACATGATGTTTGTTCCATTGTTGATAATGCTCGTTTTCTAATATTTGCAATGAAAATTTCTTTTTCAATTATGGTGGCTTCAGAATCATGAATATGATTGTTTTGAAATACATTTAAGACACTTGAATTATCAATATTCGTATGGATCCGGGCTAGACAAGTATTTTTTTGACGACACCTCCAATATTTTTTTGCTTGTCAACACTATACTTGTCAAAATTGTACAAGTATCCTTCATGTGCAAAAACTTCGCGGTCTCGTTTGGTTTCCATTTTAATACCAAATACTAATTTGTACACCTTACGTGATACACGAACGCGAATGTACTAAACGGCCTTTGTAACAATTTGAATTGTGAAAAGACAATCAGAGTAGTATCTTAATATAATAATAATAGTATTGAATTTTATTATTTTATATTGTTAGTAATTGTATCGGTTATACCGTTATACCGTATACTGTTATTGTATAGTTATCTAATTTGTCGTAGTATCTAACTGACTAAGATTAATTCGATTTATTCACATATTCGCACATCGCATACCCGCAGCACCGAACCGGTCGTTCATAAATTGTCTTAGAAAAAAGATAGGAGTTATATTTATTTTGATAACGGGATAAAATACAATTTTATTTAATACTCATATTATTTATATTTTATATATATAGAGTGTCCCATATAAATTTGTCAAATGATCAATTTTTTTAAGTTGCGGCGCCAAATCGACTGCGCCAAAAAGGTCGTCGCCAAACCGGCCGCACCAAAACGACAGTATCCGTCGAAATAGAATAGCATTAAGCAGTGGCGTAATTTTGGGGTGGGGGGTAAGGGAGGGCAAGTTCCCCCGTGACAATTTTTTGAGAGATAAAGGTATAATTTCGTCCCCCCAGATAATCCAACAGTACAAATAGCACCTTTTATTAATGAACTCTTATGGGTATTATTTAACAATATTGGTACTTAGTACCTGCTACCTACATTTTATGTTAATCTAAACCACAAAACGAGTTAAAAGACTTATGTAAAATCAAACAATTAGATATAGTGAATAAAATATATACAATAAAAGTATGTTTTAACTGGTGAGGGGGAGGGGTGTCAGGGTTTTGGTAATAATAAATATATTATATTCCCCCCCCTAGATTTTTTCCTAATTACGCCACTGGCATTAAGAATCGTTCAGAAAGGATCATTTTCTACCTGTCTTCTGCTGCACGTAACCGTTTCACAATTCTAATACTGACACTGTTCGCCACACAAGCTCTTAACTCGGCAGTTGGCCCCTGTGACTAGAGTATCTGGAGATTAAATAAGGTTAAATCTGGTATTTACATAATCATAATAATAAACATAAGTATATTTTAATAAATATTGACAAAACAAGAAACAAACCACCTGGGAACAATATAATAAATTAAACCATATTTTATCAATATATATATAAAGGGAATAATAAAAAAAACCCGAAAATGTCGATGTAAAGACGGGGAATCGCCAACGGCGGATTCGCGGGTACACAACTTGACCGAAACGACGGTGACTCGCAAACGGCAGAATAACAAACAACGTGGCCGGAACGACGGCGACTCGCAAACGGC